TTCCCATCTGTTGAGGTCCATTCCTAAGGCCTTCAGCTCCTGCTTGCATCGCAGCTGGTGTCTCCCTCTGGGGCGATTTCTCTGCACTAATTCTCCATGCAGGAGATATTTTGGAATCTGACCATCAGCCATTGTGCATGGCAGAAGAGAAAGCTGAACACCTTCTATATGCGTTCATGTTCAGTGTATGTTCATAATCACTGTAGGGGCTCCCGGAACAGATCTGGGACTGTAGTGGGCAGAAAAAAAGAGATTAAGCTTTCTCTCCTGCTGTGATTATGACAGAGAATCCTCCTGCTGCTATTAAGAGAAAAAGTCCCACTGATGCCATCCACTGCAAAGGGTTAAACACAGCAACTTGTCTGCCATGGTTCCAGACACGCCTGGGAGAGAGCTCTAGCAGCAGCTATTTTCGGTTTTAATCATATCTGTGTGCTAAATGCAATAATGCCATTATCATTACCTCCCAGGGTGACCTTGACTAGTTTAATGGAATACCTAAAGCTTATTGATACTGACATGTATTGATATTTATTGTATCTGAACTGTTTCTTGTACATCTTTGACGCTGGAAGCTAGTAGACAAAATCCAAAGAAACCAAACAAAAGACAAAGACATGTGCTACCTTAACTATTCTATTTCATTGTGAGCTTTCGTGGACAAATCCACTTCATCAGACATATGGGGGGGGGGAATGAAATAGAATCACAGGAGAATGAAGTCGGAAGGGGGCCCTATAAGGCCATCAACTCCAACCCCCTGCTCAATGCAGGGATAGCAGATTCACAAGTCAAACACTCATGGACTCTAAGAGTTTTTGGTGTAGGACTTTCTCCAAGGATAAACACAGACAGACTCAGTCTGCATGAGTAATTAAATAATTGTAATTATTTCAAATAAGGATCATTTTGTAATTACTCCTTGATTAAGTCATTCTGCGGATTCTAGTCTGTGAGCAGAGAAGTTCTTGCCTAGAGTAATGGGACTTAACCAGGACAAAATGGAAGTACGTACTGTACTAGAGAAGCCCACTGCTCTAGACAGAGGTATAAAAACATTGGTTGAATCCAAAACTTTGTTCATTTCCCTCCCCTTCAGTTGCACTTCAGAGAGGTGGAACCAGCCCCTCCTGTTCTCTGATGTCATTTTCTCCCCCTGGGGAGAGAGTGGTCTGAAGATAGGAAACTCGTGTAGGTTTTATACACAAGCCAGCACCCACATTTTACAGGGTTCTTAAGTGTGTTGAGAGTCTACACATAAATAAGAGGTGTCTTCTCTTCAGGCACATCACTCTAAACATGGAAAAAAGGATGACAGAGAAAGAAGTTGCTGGTTGTCCTTTCCAAAGGTTTAGATAACAACCAAGGAGGTAGCAACTACACTGGACTTAAGTTTGTCTGCATCTCTGGAGCTCTGCATGGGTGGTGGGCTAACACGTTTCTGCAGAGCTCCGAAAAGTGAACTTCCAGAGCTACGACACCCAGGAGGGTTTAGAGATCTTAGTCTTTCTCCCCCCAAAAAAACGCTCTGCAGAAACAGCTGATGGGGTTCCAGTCGTGTCGATACATGTTCAGTGTTTAAACAGTCCAAGCTTTTGATGGGCAATATCCTGCACCGTCTTCATCAAGGAAGGCAAGAGATCATCACCTACAAAGCTCACCTTAAATAGGACAAGGTAGAATCAAAATCAGCTGGGTAGACATTCAGGCCAAACTCAGGCGAATGGATGTTAAAGAGCCAGTCCCCCTCACTGGCCGGTATTATAGAAGGGCAGCCTGCCAAGTCTATCCAGGAGACAAAACAAAAGGCTTCCAGCAAGCGCTAAAAGTAAATCCCTATCTCTGTTGGTGGAAGGTGGCTCCAGAAGTGTGGGTTGGCTGGAGGAATTCTCAGAGCTGTTGTCCAGAACAATCATTTACCCCAACGGGTCAAAAGCACCTATTTGTACAGAAAATAGAAGCTTCAGGGGTTTGTTTGGGAGATCCAGTGTTTTGAACCCACACGGCCAATTTTATATTGACTGCGTATCTGAGGAAGAGGGTTGGATGGTAGCAAACCTGGTCTGGGTATCAGTCTTAATTTTACAGGAGGTATCCAAGGGTCCAGTCCCTATCGCCCAAAACGGTTCAGCACTTCGGACAGTTCTTTTAAATGTCAAGCTAAAAACCCAGAGCAAGTCACCAGCCTCACCTTCTTCCTTATAAAGGTCAAGGTTCCCCTTGATAGTCCAGTCATGTCTGACTCTAGGGCACGGTGCTCATCCCTGTCTCCAAGCCACAGAGCCAGCGTTTGTCCGAAGACAGTTTCCGTGGTCACGTGGCCAACGCGAATAGACACGGAACGCTGTTGCCTTCCCACCGAGGTGGTACCTATTGATCTACTCGCATTTTACATGCTTTTGAACGGCTAGGTTGGCAGGATCTTCATTATACATAGACCCTAAACACACTGAGTTTCAGTTTAAAGAGCTGAAATTGATGACCTTTGAACTTTAGAGAGCTGACATTGGTGACCTTTCAATGGAACATGTGTTACAGCCACTGTTATGTTGCCTCCGAATTATGGTAGTCCTCTGAATGAGCCATCTCCAATATGTTCTGCCCTCCACAGCTCTTTGAAACCCAAACCTGTGGCTTCCTTTACAGAATCAATCCATCTTGTATTTGGTCTTCTATATGAACACACATAAAGCATTCCGGCTGCTGTATGGTAGAAACTAATGCCAACGTATGTGCCATTTGGATTGAAATGAGATCAATTAAAATAAAACAAATACTTAGCACACAAGTTGGCATTAGTTTCTACCACAGAATCTCCAGATAGAATCGCAGAATTCTGACCAGCCTGGATGCTTGTAGAGTGGGAATTGTGTCGACTCATGGCTATTCAATATTTTTGTCTCCTAGTGCAAAGAATTCACCAATCATGCTGGGTACGACGCGCTTCTCCAGCGACTGCTGGATGGGAGGAAGATGTGCAAAGATGTGGAGGACTTAATCAAACAAAGGTAAGAAGATTGAAATAAGCTCTAATTATGAAAGTACAGTAGGACCCCCATATCTGTGGGGGATCTATTCGAAGCCCTCCACGGCTGCTTAAAAACGGACATTATAGTGAATGCTATTTTAATAGTGAATGCCATACATAGGATGGCCTCTGGTTCACTCTAGTGGCCAGTTCTGGTAATGACACTGTAGAAATATATTTCTCCAGCAAACACTATATGTTGTGTGGTCTCTAGCTACCTCCAGTGGCCAGTTCTGGCAACTTCACCATTAGAAATTATATTTTGGGAGGGAATTCTTCTTTTAACATTTTTAATATTTTCAGACTGGATAAGTGAATCAGCAGATAATGATCCCATGAATATGGGGACCTACTGTATGTCTGAATCTTCCACTGGATAAGTGAATCAGCAGATAATGATCCCTACTGTATGTCTGAATCTTCCATAATACCTCTGAACTTGAGGCTCCAGTACTTTGGCCATCTCATGAGAAGAGAAGACTCCCTGGAAAAGACCCTGACGTTGGGAAAGTGTGAAGGCAAGAGGAGAAGGGGACAACAGAGGACGAGATGGTTGGACAGGGTCATCGAAGTGACCAGCATGAATTTGACCCAACTCTGGAAGGCAGTGGAAGACAGGAGGGCCTGGCGTGCTCTCGTCCATTGAGTCACGAAGAGTCGGACACGACTAAACGACTAAATGACGACGATAGCTTGTTATCTTGTCCAAACCCAGACAGACTGTGTGTTGTCTTATGGTATGTTTGGAAAAGGCCAGCTTTAGTACATTGGCAAGGAAGCTGCCTTGTTTAAACAAACCACAGTTAACCTTAACATAGTTTAGCGTTTAGGTGATGACTAAGTCATGGCTAATCAAAGTTCAGTCTTTTTGCTTGCAGCTACATTAGTGGAGAAGGAAAGAGTGTAAACCCAAATCTTGTTTAATAATAAAAATACTTGTGTGCTGTTAAGTCGATTCTGGCTTACAGGGACAGTTGCCAGGCTTTCCTAGGTATAAAAGACTCTGAAGCAGCTTCCCAGTGCTTTCTTTGAGTGGTTCTCTCGGATGGTGGAGTTCGCCCAAGGTTAGCTTTTCTCCCAGAAGGCACAGCGGGGAATTGAACTCCCAATCCGAGGCTGCTCCAGTTCACGGAGTTCTCAAACCATGAAGCTATGATTTAGTATGATGCCTAAATGATGTTAGTGGAAGTAAATTCAGTTACATCCATATTCTGGGAAATCTCTAGCCAGGTTAAAAGAAATCCGTTTGGAGTTCATCTTCTCCAGGCTGCAGACACCATATAGGCAAATGAATCACCGTGTAGTCAAAAGTGACACAGACCCTGCCTCCTCTCCAGAGCTATTTTAATAGAAATGAGTAAAGATTTCTTCCATCCAGTGGAAATGTGGCCTTCAGGTCATCACTAGTGCAATTAAAAATGTTGCAGAAGGAGAGACAAAAGAATCATAGAATCATAGAAATTAGTTGCAAGGGGCCTAGAAGGCCATTGAGTCCAACCCCCCTCTCAAGGCAGGACTACAAGTCAAAGCAGATCTGACAGATGGTTGACCGCTTGGATGATCCAAGAACAGATCCTGCCCCTCCTCTGAATGACAGCCTTTCAAGTATTTGAAAAGTGGCCTAGATGGCTCTTCTTAATGGACCTGGACCCTGTTTGCTAATATAAATAAGAAAGGTACCAGTGCTGTGTTAGTATTGTGTCAGAGGTTATTATTCATGACTTTTTTGGCCACAGAGGTGACCAAGGTGACTCACAAAGGTTAATACAACATTTTAAAAAATGACTCTGCCTTACCCATACAAATAGAACAGTTTTCTTAAAAGTCCCATATTTTTCCATTTATAAGACCATCCCTTTTCTAACCCCCAAATTAAGAAATCTTAACTCAGCTTTGTGTATTCAGCCTCTGGGCTCAGAACACTCGGACGTTACGAGTCCCTATTGAATCTGAGCCTACAGGCTCCACCTGCAATATGTGTTCCCATTGGTTTGTTCAGCATCAGCTGGCATCAGTTCCATAAGGCTCATGATTGTAGGAAGCTAAGCCTCATGACTGGAGGCAGCCTGTTTGCAGAAGCAAGGTAGGGACTTTTTGTTCTCTCCTCAGCTTACTCTCGTGTATAAGACGTCCCTCAATTTTTAGTGAAATGATTTTAGGAAAAAGTAATGTCTTATACACGGAAAAAATATGGTATGTGTAATGATTCTATTAACAGGTTTGTTTTCACTGTTGCAGGCATCTTTTAAATTTTTTGTTTAATTTTATTTTCTTCTGTGGGTGTGCACTCCTCTTTTCAAAGACTGGTTTCCAGCATTTCCCTTTTTCTCATTCCAATAGGATCTTGGGGGGGGAAACGGTTTTCTGGGCCCAAACTCCCAAACTCTCCTAGTCAGTGACCAGGCTAGATGGGAGATGGTAGTTGCTGTGACCTAAAAACAGTAAGGTTTCTATGCTCTGAGTCTAAGGAACAGGGTCCTTCTATGCAGAAAAGCCAGATTGATCGATTGATTGAATTAATTAATTACTCTGCCTTTCTCCTTAGAGAGAGCCCAAGGCAGCTTACATCATTAAAAGACAATATTTAAAGTTAAAAATAGTAAGTATACAAATATTAGCAAGGATTCAACAAATACTACACTAAAAATGGTAAACGAAAGCAACAGCAAAAACATGTTCAAAGCAATAAGGTACAACAATCCATTTACATGTGTTGTAACCTACCTAGAGTAGAGCTGTGATACTAATGGAAGTGGGATACAAATAGAACCAACCAACCAAATGACCGACCAAACAAACAAACAAACAAACACCAAAGATGGGGCCAGCTTGGCCTCCAGTGGGAGGGAGTTCCGCAGTCTGGGAGTAAAAACCGAGAAGGCCCGCTCCTGTGTCCTCACCAAACACATCTATGGTGGGACCTTCACAAATATGGTAACCAAGTGAGAGAAAGAGTGTATTTCTAGGCAGGGACCTCCTTCTAGGGAATGGGACGGGTGGTCAAAAAGGGAAAAGAAAGTGGCCTTCCTTGAGTTTAAGATAATGATGGAATTTTGTTTTAACAGGGCACAGGCAGAAGAACGGTATGGGAAGGAGCTGGTGCAAATTGCTCGGAAAGCAGGAGGCCACACAGAAGTCAAGTGAGCCCTCTTTGATTTAATAGCATAATGCCAAATTATTTCTCATATGCATTACTGGTATCGGCCGCGGTATCAAAATCTGTGCCTAAGGCTTTGTGTATGTCCCACTAATTGTGTGATTTCGTGGTGCATCTTGCGTGTATTTTTTTGTTTTGTTGGTTATTTGGCTTTGTTTAGTTCAGGCATTCAAGATGGTCCAGAGCTTAAAATTCCGGCTGCAGGATAGTAATAATAACTAATAACGGTATGCTGTCAATTTTGATTTATGATGAACCTTTTCAGGGTTTTCTACATAGAAGTGGATTGCCGTTCCCTTCTTCCAGGGATGCCCTGGGACTGTGCATCTTGCCCTGATGGGATGCCCTGGGACTGTGCAGCTTGCCCTGAAAGGTAGCCCTACAGAAGAGGGGCAGGATCTCTATCATCCCAGAGTGCAGGAGATGCAATAATGGGCTCCAAGCTACAGGAAGCCAGGTTTAGGGTGAATATCAGGAAAAACTTCTTAACTGTTAGAGCAGTATGACAATGGAACCAAAGATCTCTATGATATTATTTTGGAAAGAGGTCATGAGGGTATCTTTCATGACAGTAAGAATGAGAAGTACAATAAATCAGTAGTGTAGTGAGGAGGAGAAAATGCACTGCTTTCAGTTTGTTAGAATTTTGTCTCAAAGGCTCATGTCCACTTGAAAGAAGTACAGAAGGTTCTCAAAACTCGTTTCTTAATTGCGTCCTTTGTATTGATCTCTTTGTCACTCTCTTGTGGCTTATTTCCTGGATGTAGCCCACGCCATGTAAATATCCATCAGTCATTGGAGGGACAAGCTTTGAAAAGCTGTGAAATATTCGTAAATCAAAGAGATTTTTTTACAGATAGCTGAAGCCTTGAATTTGACCTCAGTGAGGCCACCCACAGAGGGGTTTGAAAGAAGGGGAACTTTGACAGGACGCTCCAGACAGCCTTTTTCCATCGCTCTTTCTCATACTGCGGCCGGTAGTGAAATAATTGTTTCTCTGAGCAAGAAAGGAAGGCTGAAGAGCTGCACAGAGAAAACCATAATAACGTTCAAAGCATTTTGGAAAGCAATGTAGAGCAAATATAATTATACCTCATTAGACTAAAACAGCAGAAAGACTCTTGCAAGCTCTTGGAACAATTACGTTTGAAGCAAGCAAACAAAAGAACAAATCCATCTTCTCATCCATGTAAACGAAAGCTGATAGGGTGAAAACTGGAGATGTAGTGTGTATGTGTGTTTGTGTATGTGTGTGTGCGTACCTTTCACTTTTTAATCTTCTGTCGACTTTGTTTGGTTTTGTTTAGTGTGCTCAATCACAAAAATTATCTGGACAGACTAAATATAAAAAGAATTTTAAAAAAGAGTCAGTGTATTGTAGTGAATAGAATGTTGAACTAGGACTTAAGAGACCTGGGTTCGAATCCCCACATGGTCAACACAAAATTATAAGAACAGAAAGCACAATTTCTCAAATACAACTGCAGTGTTTTGCATAAAAAAATCCAACAAAAGACTACATAAAGAATAATTTGTTTACTTAGTGCTGGAAAGCAAGTGCCCAACAAGCCTCTGTATGCAGGGCATTTCATAAATGGAGCACCAGAATAACTGAGGCCCTCTCTCAGGGAACAGCACTTGGGGGCGGGGGGGGCTTCTTGGATCTTCAAAAGGGACCCAAGAGCCTCAGTGATACATGTGGCGGAAGATGCTCCTTTAAATCAGAACCTCCAAAGTAGTAGTTCTCAACCTTGGGTGACCCAGATGTTCATGGACTCCAACTCCCAGAAATCCCGGCCAGCACAGCTAAATGGTGAAGGCTTCTGGGAAGACCCAAGGTTGGGAATCCTTGCTCCAAAGCTATGAGTCCATCTAATGTCTATCATTGGACCGGGGAAGGGGGAAGCCCATGCCCCCACCCCCTTTTTCTTAGTTTTTAAAACTAGGGAAAAAATGCTCCCAAAGTATCTTGTCATGCAGGGGGCTAGGAGTGATGTGGGTCTTCAAAACATGGCAGAATTTGCCGCTCAGAGTGGTCGTATAGACCAGATGGGCGGGATACCAATCAAATAAATAATTAAATAAATTTGCCCTCCATGAACCTAAAAGACACTTGGCGACTTTATGAGGGCCCCCCCCCCGCTTTTTAAAAGAAATATTTTGGGATAGATGGAAGATGCTGCATGTTAGTACGAAGATTTCGAATCAGTCCCCATCAACCGGCTTCTAGCTAAACCAAGAGATGAAGCAGCTTCTTTTTTTTTTTGACTCTCATTCCCTTGATGCCTCTGCCTTATCCTCGGGTTTAGTCGCAGTGCCTTGTGGACTGATTCCCAAACACTGGGTTTAGCTCATATAAAGGGGAAAACAGCCAAGCCCATCTTCTGGATTTCAGAACTGCGCAGAAGCCATGAGAAATGAAATCAGAAGGCAAATTCCAGAAAATGATAGAAATTCTGACTCATCGCATGCAGGAAAAATAGCTATGGTTTGTATACTTCGTGTGTCATCACACTTTATATATAGAATTAGTTACAGGAGGGTGTCCGTGTGTGTGTGTCGGGGGGAGGGGGGAAGAAACCCAGCTAGTACATCTCAATTCCTGCGGGGGCTGCATTTATTATTGTGCACAGCAAGCTAAAGAACAGGGCCTTCCGCTAAGCGTTTACCACTAGGTAAACTGTGTCCTCTTGTTTCTCAACCTTAATATATCTACAGATCGGCACATAGGCTGGACATACTCTATTAATATTGTTAACAATAATTGCATCTGATTAAGTTCATTCTGACTTATGGGGCCCCCTTTTCCAGAGTTTTCTAGGAAGAGAATTACACAGAAATGATTTGCCTTTCCCTTCTTCTGGGAACACCCTGAGACTATGCAGCTTGCCCAAGGCTACCCAGGTTGGCTCCTCTCTCTGAAGGCACAATAAGGGAATTAAACACTCGGATTCTGGTTCTGCAACCTCTGAATCCATTGGATACAACTTGGATTTGAACAGCTTGGCTTAGCACATTCTGGCGAGACCAGATGGCGGGCTTCCTAGGCATGATTTGATCCTAGTCAACGAGAGACAGCCGTGCAGGTGAAAAACAGCCCTTACGCTTTGAAATCAACTCAGATTTGCAATCTGGAAAGGTTTTGTCTAGAACAGAAGCTCAAGTTTGCAGACTGAGATTATTTAAAAAAAATGTTCCCTTTCTCTTTTTTGACATGGATCTTAAGGGTGAGCTCTATCAGAGGTGCTCATGACTAGAGCTGATCTCAGAAAAAGACCCAGAGAACTCCAACTTGAAATATATATTTTTTGCAAAAAGCGGTAGCTACAATGGGACCCTGCTGTTTCAGAAGGGAACTCTTCAAAGGTTTTTGTTAGAGGTGTGCAGAGTTCTGTTTTTGGACTTCCAAAAATCCAGATCTATACTCCTCCACATTTTGTCAACATACAGGGAGACAGCCGTTGGGGACAGGCCGTGACCTTGCCGCTAGAGATCTGCTGTCTGAAGCAAAAAAATAATAATGCTAGTCTTGATTTCACAAAAAGCCAGAGAGCGGTTAGCCTTATTTTTGTGAGCACCCACGTCTTTAAATATAAGTTGTCAGTGTCTCCCTAGGCAATAGAGAACAAACAGTTCGAAAATGTACGTTGCTAGAAACCCGTTTCCTTTGTCATCCTCAGAGTTCTGCATGCCCACTTCCTGTGGTGCAAATTGTTAGGCTTTACCCTTAAAGGCATTTTGCAAAAGTATAAAGTTTCAACCCTGGCACCTGCAATAAAATGGCACGGCGAGGACAAAAGACGGAGAGGTGATGATAAGGCTCACAAGTGTGGGATTAGGCTGAATTCTTTGGCTTCAGGCCTCTCGTCTTTTCATTTTAAGGGCACCTCCATTTCCAAGCACACCCTACAAAAGAGAGATTTGCTTTGTACAAACATGCCAATTTAAACGGCTCTGTCCCTACGCCTGCGAACAGTAGCAAATGGCTGCACGGGTTAAACCATCTATACTCTGTCTAGACTACTCGTTGACTAAAGAGGACACTTCTGTCTTGGTTGTAACATGATACACTTTTGACTGCCCATCCATAACAGCTCGCTGGTTCTGTTTTGTAGAAAATGAAAGTGTCCCAATACGCATGCAATAGAGAAGCCAAAATGAACTGTGGTTACTTTGTGGGCCAATTCAAATGCTATAGTTTGCATGTCATTAGAAGAAGAACGTGAGCTAATGTCTCAGCCTTGCTGTCATCTAACCCTTCATCTGTCTCCACCTGCTTAACGGGAGCAAAAATTGTGCTGCTTATATATGCCCCGTCAACGTGAGCTAATGTCTCAGCCTTGCTGTCTTCTCCTAACCCTGCATCTGTCTTCACCTGCTTAATGGGAGCCAAAAATTGTGCTGCTTATATATGCCCCATCCTGCTTAAAGCACTCTCTGGGTGGTTTACAAATTAATTATGCAGGCCACACAGAGCTACCTCAGCAAGCTGTTTATTTAATTAACTGACCTCAGAAGGATGGAAGGCTGAGTCAACCTTGAAGGGCTACCTGAAATTGAACCTGGACCATCAGAAGAGTTTTTTCCCCCCACGGGTGACCTTTCTGTCAGAGCCTAATTTTGGGACTATTTCCCTTAAGACCACATTTTATACCTGCTTTGCTTGATGAAGCGTTAACGGGGAACTCAAAAGCTTGCCTTGTTTGCAACTTTTTTTGCGGCTCACTTAAAGGATTACCCAAACCAGAACAATTAACTTGGGAAAGTGAATTTTAATACTAATGCATTCTTGTTAAATCATCAATGGAATATAGTTCATTCATGTTTTACTCAAAAGCTTGCCTTATTTGCAACTTTTTTTTGCGGCTCACTTAAAGAATTACCCAAACCAGAACCATTCTTGTTAAATCATCAATGGAATATTGTTCATTCATGTTTTTAAAAAGAGATTCAAAATGAATTAACTAACTGGCCCATTACCATCAAATTTTAACATATAAGCTATTTAAAATTAGACATGAATTAAAGCAAGGCTGTTGATTAGTTCTCACAAATAATATCACTGGCATTTAACGGTGGAAACAACGGTTTTTCAAAGCCATTGCTGAAAAAAATATATTGAGTAATGAAATGACGGTTAGTTAGTAAATAATTTTCCAGGCTCTGATTTTGATAGGGGTAGAGGAGGACCATTTGGCCATGGAAACGAAATGGAGGAGTGGAACTGGTAAAACCCACTCCTTAGATATCTCAGAATCGTAGACGTTGGAAGGGCTTGTAAGGCCAGAGTCCAACCCCTTGCTCAACGTAGGAATCCACAAACTTTGAAAATCCTATTAAGGTTGTTGTATGTCGATTCTGACTTGATGGCGCAGAACACACAGAGAAGAGGACAAAAGAGAAGAAAAGGATCAGCTTTGATGTGTAAAGTGGTTAGTAAATAATTTTCCAGGCTCTGATTTTGATAGGGGTAGAGGAGGACCATTTGGCCATTTTGGATCAGAAAAACATTCTAGTGGGGAGTTGAAATACGGGGCAGCCTATGGCTATATTAGTAAGCCAAGAAGGTGCCAGTATAATACTCTTTGCGATAAGGCTATACTGCATCATAGATGGTGTCTTGCATATTTTACATGTTTCTAGGACCTGCATGGATAACCCCTGGGAGACCTATTTTCTTTTAAATGACCCACCTTTAAACTCCAGTCAATTCATTTCTGCTTCATTGACCTTATTATCTGTTTAGACCCACCGGGTCAGAAGTCACTGGCCATAAAGTCATAGGACTTTGCAAACTCATTAGAAGTTCGTTGGCACAGCAATTAACGGCTTAACGGCTTTCATTACTCTCGTTCAGGAGTTCCCAGAAACCTTGGCCAGCACAGCAGGTGGTGAAAAGGCTTCTGGGAAATGCAATCCGAGAAATCCTGGGTAATTCCTTGGTCACTCATGGTTCGGAACCCCTGTGAGGCTAGTTCTTTTAAAATCCTGACGTCTCTCTTGTTTGCCCCCATATGGAGTATTAATGCACTCCGCTTTATACTGCAGATAAACAGTTTTTTTATTTTTACACATAGACACCCACACACACAAGCTATAGCATCGGTGGGGACAAAAAACCCCGACTTGTCTTTGATTGTTGCATTGAATCCAACATACATAGTGTGAGTTCCTTCCGCCCTGCCCCCTGCTTACAGTTTGCCACAGTGTAAGAAAATGTGTGGTGTGGTTTTCCTCTCAACAGCGTCTAGTGCAATGTCATCTTCCTGTACAGAAAAGCTGTACATACGCTCCAAGTGACAGTAAGGCTGTGATGTAGAAGCCACGTCCGACTGCAAGGAGGTTAGGACACTGTTCTCAAGGCCTAGGTCTGAAGAAGCGGACTCTAATCCACAAAAGCGACACTGAAATCGAGCTAAAGTGGCACAGTGCTTCTGTTTTTATTTCATCTGAGACCCGGCTATTAGTCAGAGTGAGCCATGATGAGCCAGTTTTGACCTGGCGTGGGGCAGCTTCCTCTATCCCGTCTGCTCCCAATGGGGAGGGAGTGCAGAGAAATTTTACAGGAGCATGAAACCGTGAGATTTGCATAAAACATTTTTTGGTTAAAAAAAATGCCTTAAACGAATTTCTGTGATAGGTATCGTTGCTGGAATTTGGCGTGCTGTGCAATGCTGAAAAGTTTAAGGACCTGCTGGAAGATTCTTAGTCTCTGTGCCTTCTAGTTGAAGCATCACAGTAGACATTGCCTCTGTGGAAGGCTAATGCTAGTTAAAGAGACTGAAGAAATATAACATTGATCAGTTATTACATGGTACAAGTCATTGAAATCCATCTGAATCTCACGAAAACCATGTAAATATAGAGAATTGGGGGAAACATCCTGGAAAACAGGAGGTTGAAAGAACGCCACCACAAGAGGGCGCGAAAGGCACATGGTAGTTGACAGTGTGACTGTCCAATTATTTTTCATGATGACACTTGAGGAATTAGGAAAATGTCAGGATATATTAGTTCTGGGAGTGGTAATTGGCCCAAGTTCCTTTTTAGAAGAAGTTATTCAACGAGGAATTTGAACCGATATTTTTCTAACCCTGATCTCAAGAAGCTTGCTGGGCTCATACAAAATCCCATTTAAAACAATAAGAAGCAGGTGATTGGATCAGAGTAAACAAGATTTAAATGGTAAGGGGGGAAAAAGGCATAAACTGCTCAAAAGAATGTTTTGTTCATTCCATTATAAAGCGTTTGATTCTCCTAATAATTAGAAAAAAGTGGAAATAAAATGAAACGAGTCATCATCTAATATTGGACTGTTAAGGAGTAGATTGAAGAGGAAAGGCTGAAATTCTTATTTGGAGAGCAAAATGTATGCTGTTTATGGATGCATAAAGCCAAACATTTCCTTTTGTGAATTGGTTCACAGAAGATTTTCCTCTTGTGTATGTCCCAACTAAGATCTGCGATCATGGTGGCTACTTGTGTCGTCATTCTAGATGCTGAAGTGCACGGTTTTGAAATGTTCTGTATCATTATTTGAAATTTTGCCCCCCAAAATGATTATATATATTTCTTTCTCTCCACAGTACTCTGAGAGCTTCGTTTGACATCCTCAAACAACGTACGTTTATTAGTAGGCTATACTGGGGGCATCTTTGACAACCTGAGGGTAAATTATGGCCGGGGGGGGGGAGAACGGGAAATGACATTCATGTTATAGGTACTTTTATTTTTTCTCGTGGGTGGCTGTAAATAAAAGAGCAACCAGTTTGAATGTAGCAACACAAGCGACACACACCCTTCCGTTGTGGTTGAACATGAGGCAAATGAATGTTTTATCTTTGTGTCTATGCAACTTTGAGATTATGTTAATAACCATTTTGAGAGAGGTGGCTGAGGTCACCCATCATTTTTGCTGAGAGGGGACAATCTAGGTCTTGATTTGCGTGGAAGACCTCGTGGGCAAATGTGGGGGGGGATGAAGGGGGCTTGGGGAGAAGTCCACGAATAACATAGACCACCCTCGGTAATATCAGAATTTTCAAATGTCTAAAGTGGAAGACCTCGTGGGCAAATGTGGGGGGTGAAGGGGGCTTGGGGAGAAGTCCACAAATAACATAGACCACCCTCGGTGATATCAGAATTTTCAGATGTCTAAATGGGCAGCATATAAATTAAATAAATAAATAAATAAATAAATGTGTCAGGTCTGTTGCAAAAAAAAAAAAAATCAAGGGAGTTCTGTGGCCCCTTTAGATGTTGTTATCGATCACATTTCCTATTCAAGGTGTCGTGTTATGTCACGGTGGAGCTATCAATACAGTTTCTGTATAAAGCATTTATGTATTATTGGTTGGTTAGTTAGCTATTCTATATCCTGCCTTTCTCCTCCAAACTGGGGGATCATAAAGGGAGATGCAATCTTTGAGATAGATCGGATCCAGAATATTTAGGGCTTTGTAAGGTTTAAAGCCAACCCTTGGAATTGGGTCCTGGATAACAATGCTTCATCTGCCGTTGTGGATCGGGGGTCCCTTGGCAAGGTATTATTGCTCATTTTGTGCATAAAATTATTCATGACAACAAAATGCTGCCTTCTGATCCTGTGTAGAAATCGAAAGCGTTGGGAACTCTCACATCCAGTTGGCAGCGATGCTGAAGGATGAACTGAAGGGCCTCGAAGAATTCAGAGAAAGGCAGAAGGAACAAAGGAAAAAGGTGAGGGAGAAGCCCAAGACACACTCCCCCCTGCCCCAAAATTAATCTGGGGGCTACTTAGCCTGGTAGCTCATCCACAAGGAGATAGCAAGAGTCTATGTATGGCTGATAATTACTCTAAATCACTACAAGAAACTTGACTCATTGAATATTAACTCCAGTTGGACCTGCCTATGTTTCCATTTGGAGAACAGTCGCACAGAAAAAGTGTTATTTTCTTTGCTTACTGATAATGCACACCGGTTGAGGAAGATGATATTTAGAAGTATTCTCTGGCTTTGGAATAGGTTTAGGGCTTCTGGCAAGGTCAGCAGCAGCAGCCGCCTTTGGGCAGGGTGGTCTTGTTGGTTCCCATAAATCTAAGACAAGATGGTTTTGAGGATCCCTTTGTATTGAGGGACAGCTTGCTTCCATCTGGACTGAAGTGTTGCAGAACAAATCCCTTCCAGGCGGTGCGAATGAGACCATTTAGTTTCTGGGACTACAGCTCCCAAAATTATCTGGTCATGGCCATGCTGGATGGGGGGGCATTATGGGAGATGTAGTCCAAAAAAAAAGTGACTTGCTGAAGTTCTGGTATGATGAACTGGAAAGGCTGGCCCAAAGCAACCCTACCACCAGCCTCGCAGAGATCACCAAACTGCAGGAGTTAATAGGGACTCTTTGAATTTGTCTTGTTTTGTGAGTTGTGTTTTCACCCTCGCTGATCTGGCCTTGTTGGAAGCTTAATACCCATCTAAAGAGGTCTCTGTTGCAAAAGTAACACAGGGGGGTTGGTCCTGAGAGGGGTGTGTGGAATTCTTAGAAATGCTGGAAGGACTGCTGCGTCCTTTCTTCCTAAGGCCAAAAATGAGATACTGTATTAACCTTATGTGTTTCCTGCAGTACGAGAGTACGATGGAACGGGTGCATAAGAACAAGCTCTCAATGTATAAGAAAACCATGGAGGTAAATAATTGTTGTTGTGACTGTTATATTTTTTTTATACCGGGGTGGGGAAGAGATTTTCTAGACACTGTAGAAATCCTGATAGATCCCTTGCCTGCAGATGAAATCACAAGAGACACAATTTGGAATGATAAAACAAGTGGGGAGAAATATGTACAGTAGGACCACCGTATCTGCAGGTGATCTGTTCCAAGTTCCCTGATGGATGCTGAAAACCACGAATTTTAGCAAATATTATTATAATAGCAATTGCTATATCTAGCATGGTCTCTGACTCCCTCTAGTGGCCAGTTCTGCTAACGTCATCATTAGAACTATATATTGTGGGGATAGTTCTTTTAATATTTTCAGACAGTGGATAAGTGAATCAGCGGATACTGATCCTGTAGATTAAAATGGTCCCGCTGTGTTTGTTTATATGTATTTCCATGATGTACTGATCAGACCTGGCCACTAGGGGGAGCCAGAGACCACGCAATGTATAGTGTTTGCTACTTCCACGTTTTTTGGCATCTGTGGGGAGTCTTGGAACGGATCCCCGTGGATCTTGTGGTCCTAGCCTAAATGAAGAATTGCATTTGAAAGCGTGTTACAAGAGGGAAGCAAAGCATGCCTGACATTGGAGATCATGTCTCCAAGTTATGAAATACAATTACAAATTATAATATGCTACTCAAGTAAGGCCCTAAGTTATTTTCCTTACTGGGGGGGGGGGTTAAGATAAGATGGGAATAATGTATTTTCTCTCCAGTACCTGTTACAAAAAATAGGCCCCGTTGATTGCTGAATCTTACATCAGTTCTGGCAGCACCCTTTGCCCCCATCAGAGGCCAGTGGGCGAACTTAGAGGGCAGAGGGGTAGATGCCAGGGCCCCCCACATGACCCCCTTCCCTCAACTGCCTGCTTCTGCTGTTTGGGGCAGCCCAAGGTAGAGGCAGAGGCTTAAAGGCTGGCCATGTTTTCAAAAAAAATTTGATGAAATTCAGTGCATTGATTGGAATACTTTTGGCTAATTCGTTCTCTCTTAAAAAGACATCAAAATCCTCTTTGGGTTTTTGATCAATGAATGTAACTGCATTTTAGATTTCCACTTCTGGTGCATCCTCCTTTTATGCAACCAGCCTTATTTTACTGTGTTGACCTTTCTCTGCGCGCAGTCAAAGAAGACCTACGAACAGAAATGCAAAGACGCCGATGAGGCCGAGCTGGCCTTTGACAGGATAAGTGCTGCAGGCAATCAGAAGCAGACGGAAAAGGTATCCTGTAACTTTTTTTAAAAGGGAGCATTAAGGTGAATTTAGAAACCAGGGCCATTTTCTAGGTGTAGGGAGTGGTTGTTTTAAATAGAGGAGTGCTCAATCATGTGAAGCTTGGCTTGTCGCCGGAACGGTTACAGTCCAAGTACACGGTGTGACTACCTCACAGAGGACTAGATCCGGGTGATGGCTTGCACAGGTAAAAAGAATAAACCAGACTTCCAAGGGCTGAAAACTAAACCCACTTATTGGGAAATATATTCCATATTCCTGCTGCTTGTCTTCTAGGTAGACAATCTCAGGAACAGGTTGGAAGACATCACTTTTCAACCTCTAACTGAGCAATAAGGTGCTGCTAATTAAAATGGGACTTTTTCGAGGAAGCCTGGCTGGTTTTGTGTGCTGTCAAGGCTACAGTCCTACATCTGCTGACGAGGCGTAGAAAACCCTGTGAGGAAGGACATCCAGTGCTCTGCAGAGACACTTTTGGGAGACAGCCATTGAAAAAAATTCTTGAGATGTTTAGACAAGGGAAAGGTAGCTGTTGCTCCTATAAATGGCCGCTCCCCGTTTCTATTTTTGCAGGGCGGTGCCAACGTTCTCTCTCTTTGTATTTCAGAGTCAGGCCAAAGCAAAGCAATGCAAAGAGGCTGCAAGTGAAGCAGGTACTGTGTTTTCACGAATCCACCTTTGCATCTCGCTGCTTGTCCTTTCGTAGACCTCAAGAAAATTTATATAGGTTCCCATCAAGACACGGAGAGACACACACCTTACTCATATGTGATCATTTCCCCTTTGCATCCTTTCCTTATGCAGAAAGAGCGTATAAGCAGAACATTGAAATGCTGGATCAGGCCAGGTCTACCTGGGAGCAGGAGCATGTGAGCACTTGTGAGGTAGGTAAGGCGTTGGCGCTACAGGGAGAAATGTTTCACCCATTTCCCCAGAAGACCTATGATGGGCCACTGGAAGAAGCATCCGTCCAGAACTTCAAGATTGTTTTATACAGAAAAAGGAGTACGCAAAGTAACTTCCATCCATGCATCGTGTGTCTGAACACAACCAATATTTTCTGTCTTACTCCGTACATTCTTCGTGATTACATGCACAACGCCAATCAGTGTTTGGATGTCCCTCTAAGGACACCCCAGGCTACATGCTTAATATATGTGCTGTACATATATCCCTCCGCCTGCTGCAATATATACACCAACTTGCAGGCTTTGAGGGACCCCTGCAAACGAGAAAAAAAAGTCTCAGCATTTCCTGTTTACACTTCTAGAAATGGCTCAGATTTGTGATGTCCAGGACCCCATTATGAGTTCTGGGGCAGAAAAAGTGGCTCTTTAAAACACTTTCCTCTGGAAGCATCGTAGAACATTGTGTCACGATATCACAGCATTCCGCATCTCTGGACTTCTGCCCCCAATCCTTGGGGTAAGGGAGGCAGCTAATGTTTTTGCGACTGTGCCACAGTGTTCTTATGTTGTGGGTGAACAGCTAAAGGCACAGGAGTTGGGCATCTGGTTGGTCTCCGCGGGTGTGCATCCATCCTTCTGTGTTAACCCATCAATGAAAGGGATGTTACACTCTGGCTTTCGAAATGATGCTAGGCTGGAATTCCCACGGTCCTTTACCCTCACCAGTTTTAGCTAAGGATTATGAGAACTGTAGTTCAACAGATGGAAAGCCACCCTTTGGCCAATTCCTGATCTAAAAGGTATGATCTGTGCTCCGCTCCCTCTAAGTCACTGCTTATGCAACTCAGTGACATTAGGGTTTCTGCAATGAAAGTTTGGATATTTGCATATGAGATGCTGGGAAAGCACCTAGATCTGATCCTTTTCTAATCTCTTCCGGATCCAGGCTTTTCAGCTCCAGGAATATGACCGGATTACCATCCTACGGAATTCCCTGTGGGTCCACTGCAATCAGCTCTCCATGCAGTGTGTGAAAGATGATGAGGTATGGGAGTTAATTGTAGGTTCCCCTGAGGCCAAAGAGAATCTAAGAAGTTCTGGATTAAATCAAGCACATTCCTTGTCTCTCTTCCACAGATGTGGTTGGAAGGAGGAGTGAAGAATATAGGGTGGGTTGATCAACTGGATTGGGGTCCAGGGAGACTTTGTGTGGAGTACTAGGTTGAGTCTGGGCACCAAAGTTGAAACTGAAGAGATAAATTGCAGCCGATGAGGGCCACGGAGGACATGAACTTGTCATGGGTTCAGAGAGGGGCCATAAAGAGTTTCTAGTTTGGACAAGTTGCATAAGGTTTGCCTGAAGGTTTTAACAAACCATCAGCAGTTCCATCCTGTACAAAGCGGTATACTTCTATTATAGTTAAAACACACGATGCTGTCAAGCCTCCAAACTTGATCTGAAATCTGGTGTGTGTGTGTGTGTTTTTTTTCAAGGAAAAAGAAGGTTTGCCTGAAGGTTTTAACAAACCATCAGCAGTTCCATCCTGTACAAAGCGGTATACTTCTATTATAGTTAAAACACACGATGCCGTCAAGCCTCTAAACTTGATCTGAAATCTGGTGTGTGGTTTTTTTTTCAAGGAAAAAAGGGGCTAGGAAGACTACTTTCAAAAAGAGCAAATGTTTGTTTCTTTAATATTTGCTGACAATGAGCAAAAACAGTGCTTCTCTTTGTTTCCTAGCTATATGAAGAGGTTCGACTGAACCTGGAGAAATGCAATGTAGATACGGACATGAATTATTTTGTTCAGAACAAGATGACAGGAACAGAACCTCCAGGTAATCAAGCAAGAGGGAACTCTTCCTGGATTTTCACTTTTGCATTCCACACGAAGGGTCAGAAATGATGTAGGTATCCTCAAACTGTGATGCACTGCCCGTTCCATAAAGAATACAAATGAATAAGGCTTTAGTATTTGAAATTTTTAGAGATGGGCATGAACTGGTGGTTCATGCTGGTTCATTACCCAATGAATAAGGCTTTAGTATTTGAAATTTTTTAGAAATGAGCATGAACTGGTGGTTCATGCTGGTTCGTTACCCGGCTGAACAGGTGTTCAGCACTTACCAGCCCTGCCTCCTCCAGCAGGAACCCACTCATGGGGCTGCTGCCTCTGACTGGGTGTCCGAGGGAAGAGGTGGGCTTGGGAAATGCTAAACATTTGTTTGGCCAGGAAACGAACCAGCACGAACCACTGGTTTGGAGGTTCATACCCATCTCTACTATTGAATTCAGATGCATGAAATGTAGCATCTTTTAATCAATTAAACAGGTGTGCCCAATCGATCAAGCAAAAACATATGGATCCTACAAAGCCACAAGTGGCATGCAACTTACTCCTGAGTAGAGAACATTGCTACTATGTCAAGCTATTTTTGTGTCCTCTCTTCTCCATGCAGCTGCGATCGGCTATGAAAACTATTATGACAGAGCTGTGCCTGCAAAAACCTGCAACAGCCCCATCCAAACCTGTGGGATGATGAAGAGGTAAAACAGTCAGTCTTTGGGGATCTTGAGAATGGGAAGGAGGCAGAGAGGGAAGGGATAGTGTGTCTCTGCACAGGCGGGGACAGATTTTAGAGGAGCTGAGCTAGTGCCGTGTCACCTTTGTTACTGTGAGCACTTCCTAGTCACCTGCCCTCTCAACCTGATCCCCCACACCAGTGTTGGGGAGAAGACAAATGAAGATTTTCCCTGCATTTCCTCTTGTTACCGCAATGGTTGTTTTGGTTAAGTTTGTTATTATCTGCATTTTAATTGATTATTAGAAACTGCCATGGGAAATACTCCTTGAAAGGTACTATATACATATATAAAAGTAGTACACTGGGGAAGAGAGGGAGAAAAGTCTTTAGCATGACTCTTAGTTTCTAAGGCGAAGGGGCTTCGGAGGGGTAGATACGCTGGGGTGTGGTCCTTAGTAGTGCTGAAAGGTACTAAATCTGAGTGCCAGCGTAGTACATTTGGGGACGGGGACCCCCAGCAACTGAATCATGCTGGGGTGCCTAGGGATCCAACAAGCGCTGGAACTCACTGCTCCTCTCTTGTGGCTCCGCAGATTCTCAGGCTTGCTCCATGGGAACAATCGACAAGTCACCGACAGTATTATTCCTACAGCACCCCCAACTGGTATGTGTTTTCAGACATAGGTTTTTTCCCCCCACTTAACGATCATTTTGTTCATCCTTGTAGACCTTGACATCATGAAGGGTCTAAACAGTAAACAGCTAGGCATTCTCAATACCCAGAGAACACAATTTGTGCACAATTTCTGACATTTCAGCCATTTTTGCTTAGTATGGTTATGGAGGACAGCAAGAGGCTATGGAAGGCCTTACAACCTACCCCTCCTCTTATTTCTGGATATCTTTACACAGCTGCGCCACCAGTCTTTGACTTTTCAGGAGGCGTCACCATCCACTTCCCTCCCAAGCATCCTGCCCTAAGATTTTTCAAGGCATCAGACTGGATGCAATGGCATTCCCAGGCTGATTGTCTAACATCTCCATTAGCCATTAAAATAATATCTGCTGTTCCTGTAATTTTTCAAAGCAGCAGGAGCGGAGGGGGAAAAATTCCTTTATGATAGGAATGCAGCATGGAATTAATGGGGCATTAAAGTTAGACAGATGGATCTAATTACAGCAACCAGGCCGGGGGTGGGGGACCTTAGAGGGCCATAGTATGTTGCCAGCAGCTGAGAAACCATACCCTTTTGGGGGGGGGGAGAAGAGATCCCTTTGCATTCAAGGACTTCTGTAGGATTCCTTGTCTCTCAAAAGTTAACCTTTTCTGTTTCTGTAGCTGAGAAAGCAGATGGCGTTTATGCAGACATTCGTATCCAGGAAACAGATGGGGCTGTTCTGCCTGAGAACTACACCGTGCTCTACGATTATACAGCTCAGGTAAACAGCAAAGCCGATTCTTTGTTGAAATGTGCAGTCCACCAACAATGGAAGAGTTATCACAGGACAGAGGTGGAAACATTTTTTTGGTTCAAGTATAAAATAGTTTCCTGGGAAGAATGATCCAAAAGGTTGTCTGTGTTGCACTCTGGTATTGAAAATGGCAGCAGTTCTAAACTTCAGCAAGAGTGGTTGCAGCACTTGCATTTCAGGTTATCATAAAGACAAACATTTCCTGCCTGGAAATGTCTTGAGCTTCCACGAGGATGGTGGAAGCTTCATTACTCTTGAGCTGGCTAGACAGTTGGGAGTTCAATTCCCCACTGTGACTTCTGCAAGTACAGCCAGCCTGGGTGGCCTTGGGCCAGCTGCCCAGTACCACAGCGCCCCTACAGGAAGGGAAGGGTAAATCACTTTCGACTATCCTCTGCCTGGAAAACTCTGAATAAATCACAATTGACTTGACAACACGATGCTGATGATGATTCGTTACTCTGGTGGACAAAAGGACTAATGAACCACTCCCCTGCTGTCCATCAGACTTTTGTGAATCAAAATTTGCTGCTACCCATATGAAAGATGCTGCTCAAAGGCAAAGTATTTGAGTAAATTACTTTCATGTCTTTGAATGGCTACGTTGGCGCCACGTTTGTAAGACAGGAACAAATGAGCAGGAACAAATGAACCATCCAGAACAGCCACACTGGTCCATTTTTAAATACAGAGATGTCCAAAATCCAGTTACTTACCTCGAATATTATGGGACAATACGAGGTGCAAACATTGAAAGAGATTGCCAGGGCCCCCCATGGCATTTAGTGTACACAAAACCAATGACCAAAACTGGAAGTGGATTTCTCTCCACTTCCTGTTTTGCCTTTTTTGTTTATTTCTTGTTTAGTATGTTTGGCTGTCAGTGCAGCCCCTGGAGTCTCCTGGGGTGAAGACCCAATAGCTTTATTAGTACAGCCAAAACAACACAGAAATAAGAAAGGTACAAAGGTCATAGGTTGGAGGTCACAACTGCAGAACTATGGATGGGGGTCATGGGGAAGACATGGGGCACGTGAGAAGACTCATTTTCGGCCCAAACTCAATTCTACTGCTTTTGGTGACTCACTTTTCCCCCTCACCAGAATGAGGATGAACTGGATATTCAAGCCGGAGATGTTGTTACTGTCACGGATGTGGGTGACGATGGCTGGTGGACTGCAGAGCTGAACGGAAAACAAGGATTTGTGCCTGGATCTTACTTGGAGAAACTTTGATAAGAGGAGCACTCCTAAATGTTTTATCTCTCCTCCACAAACCTGAAATATCTTTTAAAGTATTTCTTTTTATTGTTTGTATATACTTCGTATGCACTTAACCACAAGATCCAGTTTGGATTGTGATTCTGAAAACAGATTGATTTGGCTGCTTTGGGCAGTTTTTTCTACATTAGAATCTCTGTTCACATATTCAGATCTTTGTGTATGACACTGAAAAATCAACAAATAATTATGATTCTCATCCCTCCCCTTGTTACGACTGAATAAAATCTGTAGGGATAGGAAGCCATGAGGAGGGGAGTATACAAAACCACCACCACCACAAAAAAATTACAGGTGTGGGATTTTGGGGATATAGATCTTTTAACTTCTGATATAGGTATTTGAAAATAGCTGATCTTCTCTGCCATCAGACTTAGGCTTACTAAAAGAAAAGAGATAACATGGCAGCCAACAAAGCTGCTAGAAAAGACAACTTAACAGCAAATGACACACATTTGTTTTGCTGCAATGTATTCATTTATTCTTATCCAGTGGGTGTGTTCCTAAATGATCTGGTTGTGTTGAAATAAAAGCAGCATTTTAAAATACAGTGTTTCAGCTAAAATCCCTCTCTGTTTTAAGTGAAACATCAGCAAAAATAAGTGGAATTCCGACTCTGGGGACTGAGCCTTATACTTTTGACCATTCAACCTCTCAGCTGCTAGGAATCAAAATGTACTTACAGTTGTTCCAATCAGATCACAACAGTTTGTATCCACAAATCCTAGCAGCTGGGAATTTGAACAGAATGAGCAAGCAGCAAGTGCAATGCCAGAAAAATAACTCTGCCATCTTTTTCTGAATACCTTTTCATGCCATTCAGTGAGTATTTCCTTAGAAATGTGAGGATATTCTTCATTAGAAAGTGCTATGTTGGATTTGTCTCATAACCATTTTGAATTCACTGCGTCAATTTAAATACCGTCCATCACACAGTGATGGCACTGAACCTTTGATAAATATCTTGCATTAAACAGTTGAACAGCAGCTGGTCGTCTTTGGTCATTCACAGGAGTGCCCACCGCTGACCTTAGAGCTTAATAGCCTTGTGGATCAGAAAAAGAGATTTGCTGTCCTACAGATGACTGAAAAGTGTATTAACTAAATAACAAGAACAAAAAGCTGAAATGTCTCATCTTTTACTGGAAGCTATGTTATACCGGGCTGGCTAGATAGCTCAGCGGCTTATTAATCTTAGAACTCCAGAATTGGAATATCAGAAAAAGAGATTTGCTGTCCTACAGACGACTGAAAAGTGTATTAACTCAGTAACAAGAACAAAAAGCTGAAATTTCTCATATTTTACTGGAAGCTATGTTAGGCTGGATAGCTCAGCGGTTTAATCATCTTAGAACTCCAGAATTGGAAGGGACCCTGTGGGTCATCAAGTCCAACTCCTGTTAAGGAGGCCCAGTGAGGAATTGAACTCCAAACCTCTGGCTCTGCAGCCAAAGATCTAACCCACAGAGCTATCTAGTATCTGGTTTCAGAACCAGCGACTGGGAGTTTGACTCTCTATACCTCCTGGGAGAATTGCCGGCTTGTGCAGCTGCACAGTCCCTGGGCACTCCCAGGAGAAGGGAATGGGAAACCACTTCCAAGGGGGTCACAAGTCAGAATTGAGTTGATGGCACATGTTTATTATTAGAACCGCCGGATAGCTCAGTGGTTTAGATCTTTGTCTAGGAAGCCAGAAGTCGGGAGTTCCGATTTCCCATGGCATCTCCTGGACTGGGGTGGGACTCGATGATCCACCTTCCAGCTTGGCAATTCTAAGATGAAGACGACGATGATTACTTTATACTTAAAACATAAACTATTCCATTAAAATGTTGTATTTTTAAAAAGTATTCTTAGATATCGAAGCACAGCCAGATCATTTATCAACGCATCAAAATTAAAAATAAAGCAGCGTGCTGCAATAGAATACAGTTATGTCATTTGGAGCTAAGTTCCTTTTTTCCTAGGCACCTGGATTGTACCAGTCTAGCTCGTTTCTTTTCTTTTCGGAAGCCACGGTGTCTAGGTTCTTCTACCACAAAAACATGGTAGCAGAAGTCCCTTTAAAAAGACAAAGAATAACATATGTTGCAGGGAGGGCCCTCTCTGAGGCTGCAAGATAAAAATAATGTGCTACTAAGGCTGCAGCATTCTTTTAAGTTAATACTTTAAAAAATCTGTGGACATTTAAACACATAATAGGGCTTGGCATGGTGTTCGGTTTATTTTTTATTTATTGGTTTTATCGGCTGTTCAAGATGTCCTTGTAGTTACTGGTGACCATTGCTAGGTTTAAACTTGATCTTTCCAATTAAACACATAATAGGGCTTGGCATGGTGTTTGGTTTATTTTTTATTAGTTTTATCAGCTGTTCAAGATGTCCTTGTAGCTACTGGTGGCCATTGCTAGGTTTAAACTGATCTTTCCAACGGTGTTCTGTTCTAAAATTGTTGAAGCTGGAAGACATCCAATATTGTTAAACCGGCATTTGTAAGGTATCCCTTGAAAATTGTAGATTTCTGAAAGCCCCAAGTATTTTTTAAATAGTCTGCCCCAAGCAGGATCCCGCCTCCCCATGTGTGAACCTTTTTTTCTGCATCATGAGAACAAAAGATTGGCAGACTACGGTAGCAAGTTGCGAAAGCTGGTCTGTTTCTTAGATTCAAGAGGAGGAGTTAGGTTCCTTAATTATTACTTGACATGAATGAGAATTTTATAGGTTGCATGCCATGGAGGGGGGCTTTGGGAGCCCTCTGAACTCCTCCTTACCAGGCCAAAAATGAATAACTGCATCTCCAGAATTCTCTGTTCAATTGCTGTTTTACCCACCCACTCCCATCTCATTTCTGCATTAAAACAGGAGTTTTGAAAAACTGGAAAACACATTCTGGTTTTGGAATAATGAGTTGGTAAAGAGGAAAATGGGGTACATGTGACCCCAGAGCCTTCAACTCCTGCTGTGTGGACATGAATATAACTTCACAATGAACTCTACCAGCATAAGATCTTACATTTCCCATCATATTGTACCTCCCTTAATGAAAAATAGAAGTGAAAGTTTGTACATTAAAAAAAATTATACCCACGTTCTGCATTATCCTGCATGAACTATAAATGATGGTGCAGAAATGCAGGCTGTTCTATAAGAAAGCAAATAACCCCATCCCTTGAAATATGTGGGCCAATTAGAAGAATCCGGATCTATGAAAGCCTGCTTTCTAACCACCCAGCCACTAAGCTGACTGAGTGAACTCTGGCCATACACCACCTGTTAGCCCCACCTCCCAGACACAGAAGCTGCATGGATAAAATGGGTGGGACTCAATCCTTCCTAGAAGAGATAAGATATAAAGCAGACCAATCTTTAGATTACACAAACTAGCTGTGGCTATTAATTACTATATAACTGCCAGCCTATTAATATCAATTCTTCCCCCCCCCTTTTTAAAATTAAATACTTCTACAATATTTAGGGATATCCAAATTATTGATGTTACTATATGATAATCTGTTCAGCTTTACTTTTTTTTAATCGTTAAAATATACTTCTTTGGCCTATGGGTGAACTATACATAAATTCAAACCACCCGGGCAGTTTGACCAATTTGTAGTAAAACCTTCAATGGAACAGAACAATGAACAGGAAGCAAGGTTTCCTTTTGCATCTCCAAAGTGGCAGATCACCTCTGCACATGCCAGACAGATCAATCACCCAATGTAAAAAAACCAGACCGGCAGATGAACAGTCAATACTTTTAAATGACTAACTTGTGTCAGGTTATTTTGATTAGGAGTTAAATAATATTTTTGCAGTCTACTTTCACCCCTACTTTAAAAGGTTATGTCCATTGTATAGATAAAGGAATTGGACAGCTCACAATTCCTCAAGACAGTTTTGTATCACTTTCCATCTCTGGTGACCCAAATACAAACGCATCCTTTCAGAATTTGCATGCGCCATGCATATTGTATATTTAATCAGCATCTTTTCTCAAGCCACTCGAGGCGGTTCTAAGACACTAACCAGGCAAATTCACACGCCAGTTGTGTCAGCCGCCGCCTTCTCCCTTCCTCGTACGTATTAAGTTAATCCTCAAGCGTCAAAAATTATCATGTGCAAGACGGGCCGACGCATGAATGACACCAGCACTTTCTTAAACGGGACCAGTATTCATATGTTAAATCACTAACATCCAAACATTAAATAACGCTCTTCCTGGTTTCTTGTACATATCGCTTTGTAACCGGCGGTGACATACTGGTGGAACATGACAACTAAAGCACTCATTTTACAGATGTCACAGAGAAAATCCTAATTAAGTAAATTTTAATATAAACTGAATGTGATGACTCTGGGTGCATTTCATGCTACTGCAGAATTTCACAGAAAAGTTGGTCAAGATGAGTCAGCTCTCCACCCTTATTTTTTTTTTCTCCTTAGGCAAACTGCCATTGCCTTAATCTGTAATACAGTACTGGGTACGTACTTCAACTCCTTCCATCACCAGAAAAGGCTTTGATAATGGCTTTCTTCTTTGTATTAAATTGGGGTTCGTTGGCCGATGAACTCCAACAAACCCCCCTCTCCCAAACAATGCCATTGGTACAGCTTAATCCCTATTTCGATCAAACAAAAGAGCCTCTGATGAGAGCGCCTTTAGAACGGCAAAGCTGGGGGGAGAAAAGCAGATTTACTGGGGGCACCCTTGTCGGATTTTATAATTTGATTTGACGGATGGTGGGAAGGACAGTCCACGGGCAGTTGTAACAAAAGGTCTGTGCTCTGGGCGATCCCTTGCAGGGTTCGCAGGCATCAACCAGCTGCATTCACGCAAGGAAAGATTTGGCTGCAGGGAGCTGACAAGAGGACGATGCAAGAGCTTCTGGGAAAGTTGTGACCTTTAACCTCCTCTCCTGTTAACAGCATCAAAGCAAGCCTCTTGCAATGGGCTGGGAGATGTGAGAAAAATGCTGCTTCTGAAAGGAACATGGCGGGTGCCCCCGATCTCTTGCCGAAAGTGGCAGTGACTGTTTTTACTAAGCAGCTACTTGGGGCTTATGACCATCCCATGCTGAACTGAGCAGAGGGTGGGAGGGGCTGAAGGAAGGGGGGAAGAATTCAGGGCTTCAGCCACATTTGAGACTGGCTCCATTGTTGATCTACGCTTGCTCAGCGCTGACTTTTCCTTCAGACTCACTGCAACGTTATGGTTGCAGCAACAGGATTCCCAATTCAACTATTTGAACGAACAAATCTACTTATTCCCAGATGCAAGGGAGACAACTACAAGGCCAGCCACTTGATTTTTGGAAAAGCAATCCAATCAAGCCATCACAGGACGTGGCAACATCAATGGTATTGAGAGCTTGCTTACCTGCACATCCTCTGACAGGGATAAGTACCCTCCTCCCATTTATGTAAGCCAAGCTAGACTTATGTAAGCAAAATGTAAAGAGAACAAATCTACACTGAAAATATTGGCGCTCAAAAACCATAGAGAGGTTTATTTGGATAGATTTGAAATGGCTGTGCTTCAGGAACTGAAAAAGGGAAGCTGGTGAGGAGGAATGCCTATGTAGATGTTTCACTGGGTAGAAAGTGGTGAGTTAAGAGAGAAAGCCACTCTCTTGCCATAGGCCTTTGTAGGCAGAATTCATCTTGCTTTGCCAACTCAATATCACTTGGAAATGGGTCCCTGCCATTTCAACAGGAATATCTATCCTGTTCGTCTAAGTAGTAACATCTTGCTTAAGTTGACATTGTTTAGTAGTAACACTCCTCTACTTTGGGCCTGAAAGAGGTATACCGGACCAAAGAAATGTAGCGGAATGCTGGGGTGTAACTCTTCTCTTATGGGTAGAGGATGATCTTGGATGGGTCATACCTGTTCTGTGTTCTGAATGCCCACCCGTAGGTAGGACCCATCCTTCAGCTTCAGAAGGTGACGCAGTAAGAAATCACCAGAATGTAAAAACACAAAAAGTCCTGAATCCGCATGACTGACTGTGTGCAATGGTGAGAAAACCGAACATCACAAAGAAAAGGAGCTTTGGAGAGAAGACTGGGGGGATTTCACTCGATTCTCCAGTAGTGAAAATGTTTCCTAAAAGAGAAACTCATTATCATATTGTCCCAACCCATTCTCGTGGCCGCAATGGAGATATTCTTGCATGGGACACAAAACAGCAGTACCTTGTTGCTGCTAAATGCATTACGGTGCTTGTGTCTGGCTGAGCATCTGATTTCTGAAGGCGACTTTAGTTTTGGAAAGCTTATTCAGATTGCACTGCCCAAACGAGAAGAAATACTTGCATGTAGCAGCCCAATAAATACTAGCTAGTGGTTCCTGCTCCTGAACACAGGCAGAGATATCCATCTGGGTGCTGCCAGAGCAGGGGCCTCTCAGCAGGTTGAGATGCAGGCTTTGGTCCATCTTGTTAGCATCATCTTCAGAGACCTTCTACCTGGGAACTGCCTCCAATAAGCTTCAGTTAAGAGACAGCTATGGATACTTAGTCCAGCTGGTATATTTGAGACTTTTTCCCATCATTTCCATATCAAGCAGTTTCTGAACCCTATTTCTGTAGGTCTCCCTAGTGTGTGGGAAACAGGAAGCAACTCTTTCCAAAATTGCCAGATCTAACGGCGAAGGCAAAGACCACTGAACAGTAAATCCTTTTTCTGCCTTCCTCTTTTTTAAAGTCCAGTCCTCAAGAGGACAATTCAGGGCATGACTATCAGCCTTCGAACAGGAGGCTAAGGATGTTAATTATGCCCCATGCTGTACTGCAGTGGGTTTTCTTGTGCCCCTCAGGATGATGATCAGCCTCAGAATAGGAGAGGAAAGGCAAGCCAAAGGATGAGAGGGGCAGAGAAGGTTTGGCAATGTTATACGATGTTGTTCTTTGACACCAAGCAGCTACGGAACTGGAGGGAGGTTGCTTGCACACGTAGAGGAGAACTTGAAAGCTTAACCAGCAGAGTCCAGCTTGGAGGAGCAAGGGGGTGACCTCCACTCCTGCAGAAAAGCACTACATACCACACTCAGTTCTGTCCTCTGAGGCAATGCTACCATACCTTTGGAGTTCAACACTGCTATTTAGGGGAAGGATAAATAGACCTCACATCACAGAGGTAAGTTACTGCGTCATGACCTCAAAAACACTCTGCTAGCCAATGGCAAGATGTGTAATGATGGACTCATTTATTCCATTACTAACCAAGAGAATCATAGAATCATGGAGCTGGAAGGGGTCTATGAGGGCACCGAGTCCAACCCCCTGGTCAAGGCAGGAATCCAAAACAAAGCAGAGCTGACAGAGGGCTTTCCAATCTTCTCTTGAAGGCCTCCAGCGCTGGAGCGCTCACCGTCTCCCAAGGTAATTGGCTCCACTGTTATGTACTTTATATAAGATTTGTACATCAAAGAATAACGCATTATTTTAAAAAAACCTAAGCATGGTAGTTTGGAGGGAGATGTACAGAAGATTTATTTTATTAGGTTTCCTATTTACACCTCACTGACACATACTATTTTGCTACTCTATGATAACAATTCACTCAACACATAAACAGTATCTTCTTAGAAAAAAAAAAAGAAAAGAAAATATTCATTATAGAACAGTAGTGCATACATTATACTCCTGAAAAGCCAGCCTGTACTTTTAACACACTAAAAGTCTGGAAGATTTGTTCATTTGAATTTAAGAAGGTCAAAAGATGCACTCACGTGATTCTAAAATTTTGGTTAGTAGTAATTCTGTAGTGTTCTGGAGTTGACTTAATGCCTTTTTGTTTTCCTTTTTGTAAAAAAAAAAAAAAGATAAGCACTGGTGAGAGGCAAGTCACAATCCCCACCCACCCTGCCCCCAAAACTAAGGGGTAAAAAAACAGTCTTGCAGAGGTTGCTGACTTCATTCATACAACAGGCCTGTATGAGGAGAAGATCTGCAAAATGCCACATGCAAGAATCAAATCGACACATTTGAAATTTACTGACTTCAGTTACTCCTCCAATATTTGTGGCAGACTGCCTTTTTGTGAAGGGAGGAATATGGTTCCAAAAATACTATTTATTCGGTTACTAAAAAGTACAGATATGTGGAAATCTGGTTAAAATATTTGTGTGTGTGTGTTTGTTTCACAGTAATATGGGGGATTACAAGCAAAGACACTGCCTGTCACCAGTGTATGCATTAACTGTTCCAGGTTTTTGTAAGGTGTGTTTTTTTTGTAGGTGAAAGCTACCCAGACAATGGCTGCCATTGACCCAGCCAAGTCACCTTCCGTGCAGAGAAAATAGGAGCTCAAGCTTAGGTTTGCAGCTTCTTCTACGCGTAGGTTCCTCCGGTGATGAGCAGCTCGTAGGCAGGATCCCGACTCCTCCTACAGAGCACAATGCAGGCACAAAGCATACCCAGCAGCTGTGGGAAAGAAAGATAACTAAGTACAAGCAAGCATTATTTATAGCAGGTATCAGTCACACACACGGAGTTCACGCTGGAAGGGACTGTCGGAGTCCTTCAAGTTATGTTCTACACCACAGATAAACCTTGTTTCCAGTCACTGATAGGTCTGCTCCTTGCCAGTCCCTTTATCACAAAAAAGGGTTTGTTCTTAGGACAACCACATTTCAGAAACAACACCCACGTAAGAGGTTTATCTGAGCTGCCACAATCTAAATGGCACACCTGGGAGCCTATGCTGATCAGAGTTTCACACTTTGCTGCCGCAGCTCAAAGACGTGCAGTTGAGATTAACACAGAACATCATGCACGCAGACCTTACATCACACTGTTTACAGTCACACGGCATCCAGGAACCACCCCTGGTTCAAAACTTAAAATACTGGACAGGTTAATAATGAAGCAAACAGCATTTCAGGGACTCTTATCAAAATAAAACTGATTCACTCTGATTCTTGGGGGAGGAAGCAATAATCAAGCCAAAATATTTATTTTGAGGTGAACTGTACTCATTTTCCAATTTCTCTTTGCTTTGGGGATCAAGCCCTTCTAGGCAGAGATGCTTGTGCAGTCTTCATTATCAAGGGAGTGCGAGCTGTCAAGGAGCAAAATCTGGGTCCAAAGCAAAGCTTTGGCAAATAAACAGAGCCCAGTTTGCTCAGGACAAACTATGCGCAACAGATCAAATACAAGGACACCTGGGTTTCTGGGCAAATGAGTCTGTAGGGTGGAGCCTGGCTGACGAAGTAGCCAGCCAGCTTTATTACACACTACAAACATGCAACAACAAAACAACACAGAGCATCCAAGCACAGAACTTGCACTAGGAAAGAGTCAAGCCCCACACAAACAGTGGATGTCTCTGCTTCAGTGCAGCACACGGCACAAAACTTATGTGGAGAAATAGCACCTGCAGCTTTAAGAAAAGGACCTCTCCCCACAACACTGAAGCAACTCAGGACTCACAAACCAGCTTCTAGCACAGGTCCCTGCACCTAAGGCCAGTCTCCCTGACCCACACTGTCTTCACACATCTCTTCTCTATCCGTCCGACCCTAGCTGTGCCCTTCGCTGCCATGCCTGACCCACACTGTCTTCACACATCTCTATCCGTCCGACCCTAGCTGCGCCCTTCACTGCCATGGGAAGGAAGATCCTTTGTGTGTGGTGGAAGAGTGAGTTTCCCCATAACAGCTGTAAGGTGTTGGAAGAAGGGTGCTCTGCTGTAGGGCACGGCACTTCAGACTGGCCAGGTCAGTATTTCAGGACTGCCTGACATCCTGCTGTGACATTTTGCTGTGTTCCATCAACTGCACAGCCTTTGAGGGAACATCATGTGGGTCACTCTGGAAACACCTGAGCGCTGTATGTGCCAAGGACGCCATTTAACAAATGGAACAGCTGCAGTCAGAATTCAGGACTAAAAACACATCAGGGCCAAGACAGGACAGAGAAGTTTGGAAGAGTTTCCATTTCAATCGTAAGGGACTCTCTCATTTCACAGTAGTGGGGGGTGGGATGGGGGGCGGAGAAAGACCTGAATTCCAACTCTCACCTGAATGGCAGCAAATGCTAGGGCTGCCCAGATGACATACATCATGATCTCTTGTAGTTTCTTTACAACCAAAGCTTCACATCCCTAGAAAACAGAAGAATTAGATTGGATATTACAGACTGCCAACCTGCACCTCAGTAGCAAAGACTGGCAGACTCTTGCTGGCAGAAGGGAAGGCTTGGCTGTTCTACGCACTCACCCATATGGTAGAACAGTGCACCAATGATATTACAGTGTTTCTCCTCTGGAGAGGGAAATCCAGCTTTTAGAGTAGCTAAATGTTCAGAATCTGTGCATCTTTCACACACAAACACACACAGTCAAATAAAAGGGCTGACATCCAGAGGAGAACCTAGGTCTTCAGCCTTATTTGGACAATGGAGGGATGCTACACCAAATTAGAAAAAAGGATGTGGATGTTTACTTTTTTTTAAAGTTTTCTGTTTGGAGTACCTGGAAGACTAACACATTTCCTCATGGCAAAAGCTTTATGAGGAAAACATTTATTGTCATGTGTCAATTTTCCAGGGTCAAGAGAGTTCAAAATATCCTTTTTCAGTGGTGGCCAAGAGGAAGGGGGGGGCACAGAGGAAAGAAGCCAAAACCCATCCATTCGGCATTCTGCTTCTATTTAGACACTTGGTTAAGGTGTTTGCTAACCCCTTTCTTTGTACGGAAGCCAGCATACTAAAGCAGAAAGAGTGCTGGACTTAGGTTTGTGAACTTTTTGGGTTTGAACCTCCATGCACATAGCCGGATTACCCAGCAAATGTTACCATCTCTCAGCCCAGCCTGCTTCGCAGGGCTGTTTCTTTAATCCAGACTTTGCAAAATAAGTATAAGATAGTAACCTCAGCATAAAGGTCGCCGGGACGAGTCAAACTTCCAGTACAATTGCTGATGGTGGCTTTACAGCAGCTGAGGGGCACGCTGTGGTTTTTTGTTTCTCTGAACCAGTTTGTTGTCTCCCAGTCGCTGTAGTTGTGGATGCCACAGCAGTGCAACTACGGAAGAAGAGGAAGGATGAAGAACACATTGAGTTATCTTTAGACAGGTAATAAGCCAAAGGGTTCCTTTTCCTAGATTTTAGGCACTGCTACGTATATGTGGAAGGCCCACCACCGCTGTTACCCTTAAGTGGCATATCTTCCGTCTGTCACCTCTTCCTGCAAGTGGGATTTAATTCACAGAAGCAAATACTCTCTTCTCATCTCTAAGTCTCATCTGTATTTCTGAGCCCCCTTCCTGGGTTCAACAACAAGTCCCGGAAGACACAATTAACAGCCGTATTCTGTAACGCTATATCCTTTTGAAACTTCTATTGTTGACCATTATTCTACACAGTACTTGCTCAAGACTTAAGCATGACTTACGTCTCCCCCCTCTCTGTGATGGATGAGTAAACAGAACAGCTTCCTAAAGTCACTTTAGCTAACTTTATCATGGCAAAGCCACAACCAATCAGGTGGGAGAGGGAGCTACCCTAGCGTTTTCTTGTGTTTAAAAGCTGAAACAGGCTGAAGATGGTACAGATGGAGGTGAATACAGAGGGTCTGTAGACTTGGGTTTCTGTTCTGTACTTCTGGACAATTCTTGGAGTTGGAGTCCAAAAAAAAAAATCGTGAAGTCCTAGATATAAGAATTAGTTTTTCAGTAGGCATCTTACTGGCTGAAATCCTAGGTGATGTTCATGTTCATACTATAAATCTGAACACCTATTTTGAAACAACTGTTCTGCCATTAAGCAGAGCCATGACTAAACTTTGTCACAGAGTGTTCTGAAAATTAACTTTTGTTTCAGTGCTATATTGGGCCTTAGTTCACATTTATACCCAAGTCAGGGGATAAAGGGTTTATAGGAACCTTACAAATAATAAATGCCATCAGTTTTGGCTTAAGTGTTACACTGCCAACAATAAAGATTATTATTATTTATAATTTACTACACAGGAAGTTAAGATCACTCTTAGTCCCTATCACATGCCCAACCTTCTACTAATGGCGGAAAGCGCATTTTTGGTGCTTTCTTTCTAACCCAGGATATCTGTATCTGGAAGCTGCTTATTCTATCACCTTGCCTAGCAATAGTCCAAGGAAAGTCTTGTGGCTACTTTCACCTTTAATACAATTTGATTTCCATGGTTCTTAGGCTAAGGAGAAAGGAAAGGGATGTAGGAACACTGATTCTAGGAAACTGCAATTCTAAAGGCATTTCCATATAGCCAGCTGTCTTTCATTGTTACTGGATACTATAATCGGCAGCAGCTCTTCAAAGGGTTGGGAATGGAGTATCTTCTTCAGCTGGAGAGATGTTGGATCTCCTGCCTGCAAGGCCTTCACTCCCCCAATGAGCTACTGCATCTCACTTTGAAGTTTACTGGGAAAATAGCTTTCCCTACTCGTTCCCAAGATGCTGTCGGCTTTCTACTACCTCTCTTCCTCAGCAGAATGGCATCTGCCCTGACAGCGTTTACATTGGCTCTCACCTGCCTCTGAACATAATCAATCGCACGGCTGGCAGCATCCGGGTTAGTTCCATTGTATGTGTCATACACTTTCTTAATACTGTGGTCAACTTCGAACTCCACCTGTTAAAACAAACAAAGGTTTATGTGGTTTCTGTTCTTGACATCAGGATGAAAGTCCTCCAAAGCCACCGTTTCCCTTAGGAGACAACTGACTGGAGTATACAGAAGTAGCTCATGAATACAGCCAGCTGTCTGGACACTTGCTAAGAGGAGTATTTGCATCTTATAATAACCCTTTGCCAGGTGTCTCTGTACCTTCTAAAATGAGGGAGGTTCTCGTGCTGCTGGCCCAGCTCTCTTCTCAGTGTAAGGATTTTTTTCCCCCCTCCAAGTGTGTTTTGGAAACATCAAGTCCCCCATTGCTCATATTTTGATCTTGCATTTGTTTTTTAAAATAATCAGCTTCTTTACAGTTGAAATTTGTGCTTGCTTTAGAGTAAGAAATAGTATCTGACATGCCAAAGCACCATCACAGGCTAAATGTACATGTCTCTACTATACAAATGAGCCGAGAGAATAACTGCTGCTCTCTGAGAGAAGATTCCTTGTAATTTCTCTTCTGGCCTTTGGGATACAGTATATGAAGAAGTGGTAATTGAGATGAGATTCTTCACATATTACTTTGTGAGAAGAGAAGCAGGCATTAGGTGTATGTAAATAATGAAAGGAACTAATACATTGACTGAAACAGTCAATGAAAGAAAGAAAAGGGAATTAAATTAAAATTAAATCAAATCATAGTCCCAAGATGCAGAAATTGACTGAAACAGTCAATGAAAGAAAGAAAAAAAGGAAATTAAATTAAATTATAGTCCCAAGATGCAGAAAATATAATGTTCTGGCATTTTATATTGGAATAAACAGCATTATATTTTTTTACATCCAGGGACTACAGTTTTCCCCTTTTTTGACCTAATATATTGGGTATATGTGCAACTGCATGTCTCTCCATGGATACAAATCACCAAATCTGCGATTAACAGAAACTCTCTTCACCTTAGGAGGTGAATCTGCTAAGCAACTATGTGCAAGTGTGAACAAGCTCATCTTGCTCACCAGGGGATGACCACGCCACACACTGGTCATCAAAGCCTGTTTAAATACAAATGCACAAAAATGAACTGGAAACAAGTGAAAAGGGATTTGGTTCACAAGGGGGGAGGGGAGAGGAGATGGACCAACCACTGGTCCTCAGTTGATTCATTAGGATCCACCACATCCTAGGTAGACTCCAATGGTAGAACTATCACTGTACAAAGCTAAGGTATAATTCTAAGAAGGAGAGAGCTCACGGATCTAGGGCAAAACCATATGCCCTATCTGCAAAAGTGGAAGACAAAAGACACCAGGATTGAGGAGGAGGAGGAGGAGGCGAACAAAAAAACTACAAAAGCAAAAATCAACACGTTTCCAACATTTCCGTATTTTTAACTTTTCTTCTGACATGAAACCAGTATTTTTTTATACCAAGAAAAGTATATTTTGGAAGTACAAGAGATCAGCTGAAAGCAATGTATTAATTGGGATTGAGAGGTTTGATTTTAAAAATCATCAGTGCCATCAGCTTTGACTTCCAACTGTTCCAAACTTCAGAAGAAATGAAAGGGATTAAGAAGAATTTGTGGCACTCCCCTCCCCCCCCAAGTGTTGAAGATGATCCACAATATTAACAGAGAATCCATATAAAGCCTCTATAAATTCATCTGGCACTTTGAAACTACAAAGTTCCTTAAGGCTCTAACAACAAAAACATTATTTAAAAAGCCACAATCAAATGTTTTATGAAGCAGCGGGTAACAGTCTATATCCGTAATCCATAACCTACTGCTGGACTTGTTAATGTTATTTTTCATCTCTTTGAAGATTTTAATTACTACTCCTAGCAATCATGCAACTCTTAGAAAATAACATCTATCATTCCAAGCCACAGCCTCCTGTTATTTTGTCTATCGAAAACATAATGGCACAGAACCTCAAATGGAATGAATGACATTATTCAGAAGCCCATTTCAGCAGTTCAGGAAAAAAAATTACCTTTGCTCTGTAGATATAACCCAGGACTACTACCACAACTTCAGTGATAAAAACTAACAGGAGGATGATCACGAACTGCAAAACAGGAAAAAAATTATGGAGATGAGAAACACAGTTAGTTTTTCTTTTTCTTTTCTCTTGGTTGGGTTCCCCAAGATAACCTGATTAAAATCCTCTGTTAACAGTGAATGTGCCCATTGTTCCAGACTCTCCATTCTATGGGTAATTTGATAAAGCAAATGTAGCTCTCAAAGAGATCAAAATAACTAATCAAGATTCAGAGACGCACTAAGTAGCAATCACCTGACATACTCACATTACATTAATCTAACTGTAACACAATATCTCACATTCAAACAGGACACTGTTCTTCACCAAAAGGATTCTAATATCCATATTTAACCGACTTAATTTTAATTTGTCCCCATTGAAACAGGTACTATACTTGAAAAATGATTTATCATTTTAAATAAAAAATCACTGGCTGCACTTAATGGAATTTTATTATTAAATGCACAACACAAGCACCCCTGGGATTCATGTAAATGTTTCACTGTAGAGGAATGTAAACTTGCCCATGTTTTATCACCTTTCAGCCTGAAGTTTCAAAAAGGTCACTTCAAGTCAGCTGACACAGCTTGTTTGGACGCCATTTCCTATACAGTACCATACGAATGCCTCATACTGAGAGATAAACATGCACATACCATGATTTTAAATTCAATTAATCTTAATCATCCATATTTGTACCCTACCTACTTCTGGTACATGAAAAAGAAACACTCCTATTTATCATGTCGTAGCAGTTGAGAGAATGAAGAAATTATGAGATGCATGAAGAAAGATTTTACAAGCTGCCAAGTTAACGAGGCAGCTGCCCATCACAAAAACGCACAGAGATATTTAATTTTTAACTGATGGAACCCACAAAGAACAAAAAATCCAACAGCATAATCTTGCCAAGCAAATTCTGCGCTTCTTCACCCACCAGAAATCAAATCTGGGCAGGAACATCACAGTCCTATATTTTGCCAAAGTAGCTCAATACCATCCACTAATTAGAGATGGCTCTCCAGGATTGCACTCAAGGATCTCTCACATCATCTGCTGTTCTGAATCTTTTTAACTGGAGACATCAGAAGACAACCTTGCATGCAAAACATGTGCTTTACCCGTGAGCTATTATGGGCCATTAGATAATTCTAACAAAATAGTTCAGCATCACATAGAGCGCAATGGTGGTTTAAGCAAGAGGCAATAAACTAAAGAGACTGATTTATCACTGCATCCCAAACTGCATTTGCATCCCTAACTGCAATTATTTTAGGGAGACTACTTGGGACTATAAATTGCTGTCAGTCTGAGGAAATGTTCATCACTAGATCAAATGCTACCTTTTCCCTGACATCAGACTCACCGTAGCAAGACCACAGCGGCTTTCCCGGATTGTGGCGCAGCAGCCAATCAGACCAATGATGAAGAGAAGTGCGCCCACTGCTATGATAACCACTGCAGGGATGAGTGTATAAACATCTTCAAAGAAGTGATCGTAGTCATCATATGTGATGAAAACGTAGGCGCCCACATAGCACAAGATGCCTGCCGCCGCCTGTAAGGATAAGGACAAAAAAAGAGTCAGAAAAGAGTTCTGTTTCTTTTGCACATTTGCACACATCTATACATCATGTTGGTTTTAAACCAGTATCCAATTTAGGATTTGGGGAAAGGTGGGAAAGCCTGCAGGCATTTTTCTAGAGATAGGTTAACTATACTAAGTAGTACAGCATTCACATGTTACATAAGCCCATGCTGCAACCACAGTCACTTAAAACACTGCAACTTACCCATCAAGCATACAGGTAACTGTAAGCTTCTATCCCTAGTTCTTTCTTTTTCTTTCTCCTTATGATATGCCATCTTTGCCAAGGTTTTGGTTAGTAATCAATTACTCAAATTGTAATTATAATTGTAAATAACTGTAAATTTTTATGATTTTACATATGTATATATTGCTGTGTTTTATTTGTAAGCCGCCCCGAGTAGACATTGTCTAGAGGGGCGGAGTAAAAATCCAATAAATAAATAAATAAATAAAATAAGCCATAACAAACATCAGCATGAGAATGTTACTGATTCTCTCGTTCTCAACACACGTTTTTCATTTTATTTATTTATTTATTGTCATTGTAAGTATATACACAGTATTGTATACCCATACAATGAAATTCACAGACATCCAGAGACCAGACACATGCACACGCATTCATGGTGAATGGAAATTGCTTCCATTTAGTAAGCGAGAACTCTGTTACATGTGGCCATTACTAACCAACAAACTCATCCTAAAAATTGATTATTGCATTTTTCAGACAAATACAATTTCTGGTGACTTTATTTTTATATGGCCTTGTTTGACCTCTCTTCAAATATTGATAGAACATCCAGGTGAGCTACCCTCAGAGTCTCATCTGAGAAGTCATTCTTTCACACAGATTGAACACGACTTTGACAAAGCTTGATCATGAGAGAGAAGGGGTTCTAGAGCTGGATGTGTCCTGCAGTGTAGAGAACTGGCTCATCCAGAACTGACCAACATTCCCTTTAAGCTGCACGGGCGTGAGGTCATGCAGCATTGCACTGGTGCCATGCAGCCAGTGCTGCTGCCCATTTTGGTTCCAGTCATGGCTGGAATCCATTGCTGATGGAAAATTAGAGGGAACGTTGGAAAACTGACCCGTTACTGTTTAAAAATGTTGCTGTGCAGAATTGCTACAAATGAGAAGAAAAACTGAAATAAATATGGAGACCAATTTCTTTTCAAAATTCCCATGGTTCAGTTCAAAATTCACATCCCTATTTAAGGCTCCTGGACCCACACCAAGAAGGAGAGGCCCCCTAGTTGTGCTTTCCCTTTACTTGATCCTCAAAGATAATGCCCACCACCACTCTGACTCTCCTACAAACTATATGGACGTTTACATATGCAATAACTTCATCGTACTCGGTAGTGTTACAAATGCTATATGCTTTCAAGTATCAAATTCTCTGCACCGATGCTGCAAACGCTGCAGATCTGCACCAGAAAATAATCAGAAGCACCAGGAGACCTCCCACATTTACATAGTTCCATCAAAAGTAGCCTGAGTGACATCAGCAATTCTGTCTTGGGTTTTCAAACTGTAAATTAATCTTATGAAGACTGACATGGACATCTTTGTGAGTAATGATAAACCAAAATGAAAAGTCAATCCTCAAATAATCTTACAAGGCTTATATTTATGTGGTGCAAGCACTCTGACCTACTACAAGATAAGGCAGTGATGTACAGAACTGCCTGGGAAATGTTGGGAACTGCAGTCCAAAAGCAAAAATCTGCACAGCTCTACAGGATACTAACCTTCATTATGTAAACACAAAGTAATACAACTACTGTATTTGCTAATACTGTCCATGCTCAGGAATACCAAGTGATATTCAATGTAGAATATGTCAACATCTCAGCCAGCACGTGTCCAGTTTGCTACAGGTGAATTCCTATGAAGAATTTACAGTGGTGCCTCGAAGAGCGATGTTAATCTGTTCCGCAGAAAACATCGCTATTGGATTTCCTCGCTATTCAAAATGCGGTTTCCCATCAAAATGCATTGAAAGCCGGCTAATCTGTTCCAATAGGAATGAATTGCTGTCGCTATTCAAAAATCTCCATAGGAAACATCGCTATTCAAAACGCGGTTCCCCAACTGAAATGGATTTAAACCTATTCAATGCATCCCAACGGGGGGAAAAATCAACAACAAATTTAAAAAGAGTCAGAACGTCAAATTGGGTTAACAAAGGTTTTATTAAGTGTACTTTACGATTTCAAACATTTCAAACAGGAAACTTTACCTTTAAACCATTTAAAAAATAGCAATCACGCGGCTGTTTAAAACATCACTTAACTTTAAACCATTTAAAAAATAGCAATCAAGCGGCTGTTTAAAACATTGCTAATCGAAAACCGGGGACCTAAAACGTACTTGCTATTCGAAGCGCGGTCCCGACGATCGCTATTCGATAATCGCCCATAGGAAACATCGCTATTCAAAGCGAAAAAATGCCCCCAAAACCTCATCGCTATTTGGTTTCTTCGTTAATAGAAGCGCTCGCTATTCGAGGCACCACTGTATATGCTTTCTTTCCACCCATCCTAAATATACAGCTTCATTTGAAGATCCATGTGCGATCAAGCCAACAGGGATAGAGCATACAGCTAAGACAGTTTCTACCAACTTGGTCTATACACAGAATATACCTGTGTTCTGCCAGTAGTGTCAGAATGCTGAATACCCTACCAAAACATCTGACACAATTCTAAGAGAAAGGCTCTTAGAATTAAACTGTAAAATGCAGCATGAAACTTGAGTGTCTTTAAGGTAGAAAGCAAGCAACGAAGTCAGTCTTTAGTGCAGAGAAATGGTTCCCCAGATTCTTTTGGAATCCAAGCCCTATCAACCCCAGTGGGCATGGCCCACAATCAAGAAGAGGAGCCGGAGTTCAACAGCCATCTGGATACTCACAGACTCCCTACTCTTACTTTAAAGGGTATGAAACATGAAGGGAAATACCAATGCAATGTTATTTTATAAGAGCACTTTTTTGTTGAGAGCTCTCCAACACAGGATGGGGAAATTTAGTAATTACTAACTGTTGCCTAGCAATGGTAGATGAAGAAAGGCTAGTTAATGATGTCATCTCCCATATCAAAAGATTTGCTTTGTCAGGCAGAAACAAGGAGACACCCAAGTAAAAATTTTGGATAGTCTCTCTTTCCCTCTATGTCTTAACAATATTAAGCAAAAGCAGGTCACGACTAGTCAATTAAAAAAAACAGGTTCCTAAATAATCATGTCTTATCAAATAAGGGATATTTTCTGTTACATAGAGTCATGAGATTACCAACTTTTTAATCTGTAGCAATTTGCAGCTGATATTTACCCTTATTGAGTTGCACAAATCAATATAAGCTACAGGGGTCTGGCCATAAAACATTAGTTTTAAAATTGCTTACAGATGCATAATATGTTGAACTATACCTTACCCCTAGACTACACAATGAACACAATGAAAAGGGGAAAATTTTTTAGCAGGGATAAACTGGCACTGATGATCAATCTTCTACAGTAGCTATTCTCACCCAAGAGCCATATGGTCCCTTGAAGTACCTGGCACATTTGAACAAGGCCACAGACTGGAAATAATTCTTCACACATACACCACCTTTTAATGTTCATTATCTGACTTATATAATCTTGATTCAGCCTATATTTCTTTCCTATTGTTTTTATGACCATGGCAAAAAAAAAGTGGAGAATGGCTGTTCTGCAGGACAGTTCTAGAATAGGTAACAGCAGGACATTTCTTATAGTATCCTACAGCTCCTACATGAATCCACAAAAAATGATCACCAGTTATCTGCAGCCATCACTTTCCTTGCATCTCTGGTGGGATGTTTACACTTGCATTTAAACAGTTTCTCAATCTGAAAATATTGCTTCCACAACCAAAACCAGTATTTCTATAACCCTTCAGCTTGAATACAATGCCCCACAGCTCTGATAATGCACACTCTGTCTATGAAAGCTTATACTGAGCTGTCACAAAACCTATTATAAGACTCTTTGCAGACATGTATTTTTGTAAATCCCATACTGTATAAATGTATGTGTGTGGACCTATAGAACTGAACAGCCCTAGCTTTACTATCAGACATTTATAAGCAAAGATAAACACAATATTTGATGCAAAAACTTACAGAGAAATTGTGAAGTAGCTGGTATGTCACAATATCTCAATGGTCAAGGCCACGTTTGTCCTCTGCATGCAAGTATTTTGGATTCTGCTGATTTCATGTGGCTACCAAAGTTAATTAAAGAATACCACAGCCATAAAACTACTAAAGTATGTATTTTCCCTTGGGTTAATGAGATTCTTCAGTTTCTATGGGAATGTGTTTCTCCAACGCAATAAAATCAGTACTAACATTACCAGTGTTAGAGAATGGTTCACTGCTCTCCCGCACTAGACCTAAAGAAATCTAATTCTGTTAATAAAACAGGAACGATGGAGACTGCTGGAATGGAAAGAAATCTGCGTATGAAGCTCCCAATTATGCTAATCTTGAGTGGTTTTTTTTTCAAAGAGGAAAAAGCCAATACCTGTTTCAAAGTATAGCTGATGTTAGAAGCCAACTTGTCAATCACATTTGGGAGTCACAAGCCTGGCATTAAAGCATTTCAGAATATCTCCAAAGAAACCAAATGGCATATTTTAAGTTTGTAAAGGTCTGACAGTCTAAGACTCATTAAAACGCTACAAGCTGTGCAGTGTGAATGCGTTATTTCCAATCTAACAGAGAAGAACTCTGCCTCTGAACTACCACCATTTCTTTGGTGACTTGCAATTAAAGACTAACAATGCAATCGGCAAAGGGTCCGACACTAGCATTCAGACTGCCCTGAATGATCCTGAAGCCAAAAAACAAAACAACCCCACAGTAATTACGGCACAGGAATACATGTCTACTTACCCATCTTGATTATCACTCTTAATAAATCAAGGATAACAACA